TTGGCTTGACAGAAACGTCCTCTGTTTTTCAAAACTATACTCATCTCAATAGAGTCTCCACCAACTCAATTGGTCTTTACTGCAGCATAATAATAAAACATGGGAGGAGTTTTAATATATATATATATATATATACACGGTAAAGTGGCCATCAGTCTTACCTCCCAGCAAAATTTGGAGTCCCAACTCAAAACGACGTCGTTATCTTAATCACAGCTCCTCTCTTTTGCCTTTCCCTCATTTGCCTTTGCCTCTTCTGCAATCATCTCCATCTCTATCTCCGATTCCTTCTCCATCGCCTCTCATCTCCATCGACTCCTCCGAATCTTCCGATTCCACTGCAATTCATCTTCTCCATCGACGGTAACCCCTACTTTTTTTCACTTCTTCTGCAATCATCTCCATCTCCATCAATTCCTCCAATTCCTCCAATTTTTCAAATGGACTCTCTCATACCTAACAATGGGAACCAAAGATGAAATCCCTCTTGCAACTTGATAATCTCCTTTCTCAAACAGTCTCCTTCCAGTAAAAGAAAAAAAAACTTTCCTCTTCTCCACCGTCAACACCACACTCAAGCAAGCAAAAATCCCCCTTTCTCCTCCTCGAAGTCTCCCTTTACTACTCTCAAAACCAGACGGAGACTCCCAAATCAAACTCGAAAATCAACCAAAGACCCCCTCTTTGATCTGATTTTTTCCTATATATATACCTAAATAATAAAATAAAAGAAAAATAAAATAAAATAAAAACTTCTTCTGCCAATCACTGATCTTTGCAACAAAAGTAGAGGACGAAGATGATGCCGATTTTGTCTGGTATGGGCTGTTTTTTTCTGTAGGTGAGGCAAGGATAGGGCTGTAGCAAGCAGGAGTGCAGAGGCGCAAGATTGGGGGCGCAGAGTGCAAGAGGCGCAACAAGGTGCAGCAGGGCGCAGCCCCAGGTGCAACGAGGCGCAAGCTCGAATGCAGCAAGGCACAAGCTCAGGTGCAGCAAGCGAGGGGGCGCAGCAGGGCTTGATCGCCTTTGATGGCTGTTGGCTGAAATGAAGGCTCGGGAGATGAGAGAGAAAAGGCCCAAAGTTAGGGAAAGGCAAAAGCTTTAGGCTGATGCAAATCAGATAGAGATGGAGATGATTGCAGAAGAGGCAAAGGCAAAAGAGGCAAAGGCAAAGGGGAAGGGTTGGGATTAAGGGAACGACGTCGTTTTGGGTTGGGACTCCAAATTTTTTTGAGACGCAGGACTGATGGTCACTTTACCGATATATATATATATATAGAGTTAAAAATTACACTTTCACAATTTATATGTCTTAAATTGGAACCTTAATCTACTCCCTTGTCCCTACCATGAGGAATGAAGGTCATTTTTTTTTTTAGTTTTTCATGGATTAAAAATTTTTAAATAACTTATATTTCTTTACTATATTACCTTTACAAAAGAGATT